TTTTCAAAACGGTATGCTACTAGAATCTATTTAATAAATTTACTCACATTTTTTCCTTTTATATCTCATATATTTATAGTGTAATAACCTTTTTACCCCAATATCTAAGATTATTTTTTGAAGGGATGGTGTTCGATAACAAACTTATCCTTTTATATCTGATGATGGCATTAGGATTTATACGTCTACATGCACTTCACACATCGAAGATAAATACCCCTGCAGAAGAAAGAGGCAGAAGTAGCCGATGCATGGTATTTCAAGAATTTACAACCAAAAATGATACATTCGTCAATTAATCAACCAGAATTTTCTCTGAATAAAAAGTTTTACTAATTGTTATCAACTGACTTTGTTCTTAACGATCTCTCAAGGATGTTGAATGATATCAACGGCAAACGTTTAAAATTCCGTAATCGACAACATTTCACATGAAATCGCTACACGATAAATGAGACAAAGCAGCTTGTTCAAGAAATACAAGTATTTCAAAGAGATGAACCAACGGGTTTTGGGAAATATGACGATTTGGCTAGGCTCTCAATATTGTGAATTTCATTCCTTGAGAATCAATGTGACTATAAATAATAAATGCCTTTTAAAATTAAATTTCATATTGTTTGTAACGAAGTTTCATTTGTAAGTTTAAAATCTAAAAATTAAGTATGAAAATACAAATATTGTAAATAATAGAGAAAAGATTTTTTTCCAAACATGAGTTGAGAGAACTACAAACGTGTTTAATTTTAAAAAGTCATGATAAAAAAGTTTTTTAAAAATTAAAAAATTAAAAAAAATAATTTTAAAAGATCCCCCGGATTCTTTCAGGATTTAATTTACAACAGTCACGCTTGGGACATCAAAATGTCTACATTCAATGTGGTAATTTCCTGTGTCATATGGGAGTTTTTTTCTGAGTCAGGACAGCCATCTTTGTGGTCAGTTCCGCGATCTTGGTTCTTTATTTTGTTGTCTCGTGCCTCGTCGGTCTTCCCTTCTTCCTGTTCATCTCTGAGTAACGCAATGAATTCACTGGTCAGGTTTGTGTCCATTTGATTCAGAGACTCCGCTTCACTGGCGAGTCCTTCGACTCAGCTTCAAATCGCTCATGCTTTTTTCTCTTCCCTGGCTCCTGGCTTCAGAATTTCTTTGGCTTTTGAAATTTTTCAGAAGTATGTCAAGGTCAAAATTGTTGGTACCCAAAGGAAGGTCTTTTCATAAGTATACAATGTGAAATTTGAAATGCCTAGTACTACATTTTCAAAAGTTATGGCAAAGGTTAATTTTTTTAAAAGTCAAACTCTAAGGTTAAGGTAAAAAAGTTAGAAAAATCTTGTTGAAAGATCTTGTCACATTAAGTACACATATGAAGTATGTAAGCCCCAGAGCCAACTGTTCAAAAGTTGTGGCCAAGGTTTGAATTTGATATTTTTCGTAAAAGTGGGTCAAACTCCAAGGTCAAAGTCAATAAGTTTTTTTGTGGTACCCTAAGACAGGTCTTAACACAAAGAATACACCTGTGAAATATGAAAGCTATAGCCCCGTCCACTCAAAAGTTCTGGGCGAGGTTAAAGTTTTGCGGACAAACATATATACTGATGCCCACGTACGGCAACTTCTAGCGAATGTTAAACTTTCGTGACTTTTATAACATTCGGAATACAGAGGAGAGTTATCATTCGTCGCGCAGGTGTCGCTGAACATTTACTTCCAAGGCGTCTAGTGAACATTTCAAAATCATGCAAGTTGCGGCAGATAAATGATGGATTATAGGACTATTTACGATTCAACATGACAATTTAATTAATTTTCCAGAAAGGAAAATAATGTCTCTACTGAGGAAAATAGCTGTCACGAAAGGTAAAGCATTTTAAAATGTAATAATCGATCGATTTTCCCAGGTGGTACCTCTATGTAAACAAACCGGAGTTGCTTACCTTCTCTCTTTATATGTATACGTGAAACTACTGTGATTAGAAATTGCATATGACTGATATATTTCTGTGATTTTCAAATAGAAACATATAGATTAAGTTGTCAGAGATTAGAAATGAAGAAAAAAAACAGATTTTTTTTAATATTGAAAAAAGAGTTTGGGGGAGGGGGTAGGGATAATCCTGTCCACGAGCACCTGTGGATAAGGGTTATGTTTCAGATACTCGATATCCAGGCCATGTAGTAAAGTTTTCTTTGTATTTAAAAAGTTTGGAAGCAAGTTTAAGGTAGGATTCTTCTCATATTTTTGAAATTGAAAAATTAATGAAATTTTCACTGAATCAAGAAGACAATATCAGTAAGTGATAGTATCAATGAAATTAAATTTGACCGTTTTATATTGGAAGCAAGGTCAGGTCAAGGTCATTATCTTTTTTCTTGACATTAAGAATAAAAAATACCGTTGCCAATCATGTGATACCTACTTCTATTTCAAAAATTTAATGATTGTTCTTTTTGCATAAAAACATATTACTATATCGGGTCTATAGCATGATATTACCAAATTTACATAAATAATTTTACTTAACTGGATATTGGCTAATCCGAATTTTCTCTGTTTTTCTTAATTTTTTAGGATACATTAGTTATTTTCATATGCTTCCTACATTTAACTTTTTCTTATTTTCAGATATAATAAAGTAGTCTTAGAAATGTACAAAATGATACAAAAATAAAAAGTTTTGATCGTTTACTAAGAGAGAAAAAATACTTTATATGGATTTTTGGCTCAAATCTGCACTTTGATTGGAAGCGTTTAAAAGCTAACAAAGTTCTAGTTTGTTTGCAAAATCATATTTATTTGATATATTTTGAAAGTTTAGTCCCTCATTATTAATTTAAGTTGCATTTGAAAAAATCCAAGTCTTCGATTGTGTAAAAATTATAACTAAATTCATTGTTCTATTATAATTTTGATAGGCAGAAAAGAAGATATTTTCATACGCCACCATTCCGCCAAAAATATAGTCCCTGTTAGTTTTCAAACGCAGTTTACCATTTCTATTTAAAGTTGTACATTTCTGATGAGGAAAGAAAAATATGGTATTTTAAATTCCTTACACCTCAATATATAAGACATATAAGCAAATATACTTTGAATGTTTCATCTAGTCAGAAACCAGAGAAGAATCCTACCTTAAGGAAAAGACGGATTGTATAGCTGCATTTTCGTCGGAAAAACCTGGGTTTGAATAGCCTATTTTTGCAATACCCATAATCACAGACCCTAGCCTGTATTCTGTCGAGGAATCAAAAAATGGGCTTTCCTTGACCCTTTCAAGAAGACTATTTAAAAGAGTAAAGTTTGGTGCGAATATGATGTAGACCAAACTTGATTTACATAAGGTAGTAATGAATCAAATGAGACGTCGTGTATTAAAGGTTTACTGTAAGATCAATGTCCACGATTACGCTTTATGTCTCTATGCAAATAGTTTCATCACATTTACATTGTTACACTGTGGACAGGAAAGATATCCAACAAAAAAACCTGAATTTACTTCTATATTATTAGCATTTACAAATAGAGATTGAATATACACTAGTATATATTCTTTTCCATCATTTCTACTCAGTTTTTATATTTTGAAACTCTTGTATTGTCAATTAACAATGGTAATTTCCATTTTACGTCGATTTGATATATCCTGGAGAGCATGAGGTAAAAGATAACACAGAGTCTGACACATCTGTTTCATACTTGGATATTTTATTTGAAAAAGACGTTAATGGCAATCTAACAACCAAGCTATATGATAAACGTGATGACTTTAACTTTTCTATTGTCAGCTTCCCTTACTTATACAGCAATATACCTTCATCACCTGCATACGGAGTATATATATCTCAGTTGATTCGATACGCAAGAGCATGCTCTACGTATGAACAATTTCTAAAACGAGGTAAATAATTTACAAGCAAGTTGATGAAACAAGCATATTAGCAGTTTCGTTGAAAGTCATCATTTCGAAAGTTCTATGGTCGATACAATGACCTTGTCAGCAAATACACTTTATCATTAAGTCAAATGCTGACTGACGTTTTTCATACTAATTGTTAGTCTATTATTTAACCATTGAATTGACGTCGGATTTTTCCGTTATTTCCCGATCATGACAAGGAGCACACGGCGGGTGTGTCCGGTCAGCAGGGGATGCTCACTCCTCCATGGCACCTGATCCCACTTCTGATGTTTCGGAGGTCCGTGTTTGCTCTGCTCCTATTTTGTATTGTTTTATGGACTTTGATATTGAAAACTGTTCGAATTCGTTATCTCCATATCCATCTATATAAAACAGCATTTCATCAACCCTGTTGACTCTACGCTGGCGCTGCACAAACGGACCAAAAAATTCCAAATTTGTCTATGCGGTTTACGATTTTGATGAGATATTTTTGAAATTTTCTCTGAGCTATATTTTGGAGTCCTTGATCATAAAAAAAATTAATCTTACTTCATCGATTGCATTCGAGTTCTTACAGCTATATGTATAATATGTGACATTTTGTCTTCGTATTCATACTTAATATGGTCACTTATATCGGAAAGAGAAAAAATATCTCTTGTGACGTAATCAAATAACAGTTTCATATTTATAACATAGTGCTGATAGATGGTAGACTTATGGATTTATTAATGAGCAGAATACTTCTTCCAGACATTTTGTCTCTAAATTACGTTTGTCGGGTTAGTAACTCATGAATGAGATTATATTTCTGAGGTTACTTTATGTTCCAAAGTCGATGTTTTTTTCTCCAATTTCTAAGGAATTCGTAAAGAGGCAACCTTCTGCAACTATTTTTAGAAAAGGGCAGAGATTTCAAAGAAATTGAATGCAGGTTAGAGATTCTTTATATACGTTTTATTGTTGTCTTTTATGTATGTGTTGATTGTATTTTCAAAACGGTATGCTACTCTATCTAATAAATTAACTCACATTTTTCCTTTTAAAACATAAATTAATAGGGTGATTACTTTTTTTCCCAATATCTTACTTTTTCAGGGATGATGCTCGATTACAAACTTATCCTTTTATATCTGATGATGGCATTAGGATTTATACGTCTACATGCACTGAAATTAACCCTGCAGAAGAAAGAGGCAGAAGTAGCCGATGCATGGTATTTCAAGAATTTCCAACCAAGGATGATTAATCAGCCAGAATTTTCTCTGAACAGGAAGTCTAACCAATTGTTATCAACTGACGTTGCTATTAACGATCTTTCAAGGATGTTAAATGATAAAAATCCGTAATCGACAACATTTCACATGAAATCGCTACACGGTAAACGCGATAAAGCACCCGATTTAATAAATACAAGTGTATCAAAGAGAATGTATATCAAGGACCAACAGGTCTCTGGAGAATGTGAAGCTTTGGCCAGGCTCTCATTATTGTGAATTCCTCCATTTCTTGATAATCAATGTGACTATGAATAATAAATGCTTTTAAAAATTATTTTTTTCAAATTGTTTGTAAGTTGAAATTTAATCATTGATAGATAAGCTGTAAATCTAAATATTAAGTATGCAAATACAAATATTACAAATAAAAGATAAAAGGTGATTCGTTTTCAAACATTAATTGAGGGAACATCATACATTGTACGTGTTGAATTTAAAAAAAATGTCAAAATAAAAAAAATACAAATTATATAGTAAATTTCCCCAGATTCTTCCAGCTTTAATTTACCATAGTCATGCTTGCATTTACTTTGTCTTAATTTCTTAGCGAATTTTAGTAACTTTAGTACACATGTAAAAAAGCAGTCATGTCAAGATACAAGATAATACAAAAAGCTTCCAATCTAATAACAACTTTGAGCAAAATCAGTAATAAGTGAGTTTTTCTCCTTAGGTGAAGAATTTATACCTTTGTAATCGCTAAATGAATAAAAGTGAGGTGCACTAAGTTTATATTTAGTTTAAATATTATGCATGACGATTAATTTCGGAAAAAAAAGAAACTTTAATAGTAACTAGATGCTGTCATGAGACAGTAAAACCCGCACTAAGGTGTTTGCCTCTAAAACACGCTCCTACATATTGGCCGGCTTTCCAAGGAAAAAGTCAAAATAATTCTATAATTTACATAGGCGTCGGAACCGGGGGGGGGGGGGGGGGGGGGGGGGGCTAGGGCCGGGGCTTTTTTTCCAAACATATACTTAGTATAGATATTGAACATTGCTTCATAGGTTTAGCCCCCCCCCCCCCCACTTTCCACAGACACATGGCAGTATAGGTAAAAAATGGGAAAAAAAGTAGTGTATAGAAAAAAATTTTTGGTACTGAAGTTCGAATTCAACCCCACCCCACCCCCCGAAATAGGATTTTCGTGTTTGGGAAATATATGTTTTCGTTTTTTTTTTTTTTTTTTTTTGCTTGTCCGTTTTTTTTTAGAAGGTATAAAAAAAATTTTTTACACCTAGCCCCCCCACTTTGAATTTGCTTCCGACACCAATGATTTACATGTATTCATCAAACTGAGTATGAAATTCTCAGACCGGCCCTGTGACCTATAACTCAGAACCTCTTATATTTATTTTACATGCTTAATTCATTATATACCAGTTTGAATTCTATTAATGATGTAAAATGTTTTGCTCATAATAGGACCTTTTTAAATTTATTAATCCCCCCCCCCCCGTCGACACCACAATCACACAGCACATACTGTTTGGAATAGGCTAGGTGGAAAAGTTTTGTTAAAACATCGTTTGTTATGAATTAATTTAAAATTTGTTCTTGTACTATACATGTTAACATGTAAATTTCTACATCACATCACGTTGCGTCACCCATTATCATATTTTTAGATTAAACACCATTTGGCACACCTCGGCCGATTCCCACTTCATCTGATAAGGTGACGGAATCGACGAAGGTTTGTCGAATGGAATTAGCACATGGCTCCAGTCTGGTGTGCATTGGATTAATTCATTTTGTGTTATAATTGGATTTATATTTCACGAAGTTGACGAGACAAACATGTATGGCAGTCGGTAAGTACAAGTTTAAGTATAGTGGGGAGTAAAATAAACCCAAACGATTAGGTTAAAGTTCAAAAAGGGTCAAAGATCATCGCATGCCACACTAGACGAATTTCATATTGTGAAGTTATCTGCCATTGTCGATGTGACATTCAGTTACTGCCAATACTGGTGCGGATCCAGAATTTTTTTTCGGGAGTAGGGAGAGGGGTTCACATCTCAGTCAAAAAATTTCCAGCCCAGAATTTCCTGACAAGCAGGAGAAAAAAAAACTGAAAACAAATAAACAAAATAAAAACAATGATAGTGTGGTCAATGTTTTCTCAGTTAGGGGGAGGATGTCCAAAGTCATTTTTTTTGCTTCAGTATATAGTCTTGTTTAAATAACAAAGCAAATTCCAGGGGGGGGGGATGGGGGGGGATTCCAATCTCCCTACCCACTCCCTGTCCCTGAAATAACAATCTATTTTGTGATTCCAATTAAATAGTATATTTTTTTCCATTTGACTAATTATACATATTTTGTTTCTTGTGTTTATATTATGTCTGTCTATTTGTCTGCAGAAATTATAACCTTGACCATAAGTTTTAAGTGGGATGGGCTATACAAATGGCTTCTACATTTTATAGGTTTATTTCTTGTGACAATTAAGACCTTTTATTTGGGTACCATTAATTTTTACCTGAAATCGCTTGACCTAGGATACACATTTTTACAAGAAAAATACCAAACTTTAAACTTGGCCTAAATTTTGATCAATAGGTGCTAGGGCTTTCATGCTTAACATTTGTATTCATTGTGAACTGTCAACAGGTATAAATATGTTTGACCTTGACCCTAGAGGTTGAACCACTTAAAAAAAATTAACCTTGGCAATTAACTTTTGAACAGGATTTACTAGGGATTTCTTTATTTCACATGTGCATTCCTTGTGACAAGACTTTCTTCTGATACTAACAATTTGAACCCTTTGACCTTGAACTTTGAGTTTGACATATATTTGAGAAACTTCAACCTTCGCCATAGGCTTCCATACAGGGACATCAGTGTTTCACAAACACATCTTGTCTTCATTATTATTTGGTGGTGTCTCCATATGAGGGAAAAATTCCCAAGAGAGATGTATTCACAACAAACAAACAAATTACTAAAGAAAATATAAAACATGAATATCTTGGTCATGCATATCTCTGCATGAAAAAAACAGCTTTTCAAATACTGCAACCATATTCTAACCCTTTCAAAACACTCATTTGAGCTTTTCTGGTTTCCTTAACATATAACGTCTGTCGTGACGTGTCGTCCATCTGTTTGTCTGAAAAATTTTTACATTTTTAACTTCTCTAGAACCACTGGGCCAATTTTACCCAATTCATATAGAAATATGTATATTTGTATGTCAGATTGTCCATCTGTCTCAATAAATTTAACCTTGGTCATCACAGTCATATCTACTGAATATTAAACTTATGTATTAGTATTTACCTGTGAGAATGGCATGGTTTTTTATGCGCCCGGATCGATAGATCCCGGGCGTATATTGTTTTTGTCCTGTCTGTTTGTCTTTTTGTCTGTTTGTCTGTTTATCTGTTTGTCTGTTTGTCTGTCTGTCTGTTGTCAACTTTAACCTTGGCCATAACTTTTGAACAATAAGAGATAGAGACTTCATATTTGGTATGCATACTCCAGTAATAAAGTCCTTTCAAATGAGCATCAAGATCAATGACCTTGTGACCTTGACTGTGACCTATATGCTAAAAATAGCTTTTTCCACTGTTTGTCATAACTTTTTAACCATAGGAGATAGGGACTTCATATTTGGTATGCATACTCCACTAATAGAATTCTTTCAAATGACATCAAAGTCAATGATCTTGTGACCTTGACTGTGACCTATATGCTAAAAATAGCTTTTTACACTTTTTGCCATAACTTTTTAACCATAGGAGATAGGAACTTCATATTTGGTATGCATACTCTATCGATAAAGTCCTTTCAAACGACGGCAAGGTCAATGATCTTGTGATCTTGACTGTGACCTATATGCTAAAAATAGCTCTTTACACTTTTTGCCATAACTTTTGAACCATAGGAGATAGGGACTTCATATTTAGTATGCATACTCCACTGATTAAGTTCTTTCGAATGACACCATGGTCAATGACCTTGTGACCTTGACTGTGACCTTTATGCTAAAAATATGTTTTTAAATTTTGTTGCCGCCGGGCGCATAATGTTTCACAAACACATCTTGTTTTTTTTACCTGTGACCTTAAGAAGTTTGACCTACTTGCAAAAAAATTAAATTGTTATAAATTCATCATTTTGAAAGAGAAAAGTTAGGGCATTCATATCATAATGCATGTATATTATTACCTGTGATAAGACCTTTCCAAATAAATCATGACTTTTACTCTGTGACCTTGACCTTGAAGAGGTCAAGCCTCTACTTTTCAAAAATGTTGCATTTGCTTATAACTTTTGATTGAGATGAGATATGACTCTCACATTTGACATATACATTAATTACTCATAAGAATTCAAGGTGTTTCCCAGCATGTGATGCTTTTTTTACCCCTTGACGTTGATGTTTTACATAATTTTCAAAATATTTAACTCTCCTAAAAGATGATTAGGCTTCTGAGTAACATTAAGGAAGACTTCAGGGAAGACAGGGCTTTTTGCACAAAAAACGTCATTTTTCGACCCATATTTGACCCCCCAGGACAAAATCTTAATTCCAAAACCTTACTGCACATCTACCTGACACCACCAACCATCTCCCAACAGATGATTAGGCTACTGTGTAAAATGTAGGAGAAGTTCAGGGAAGACGGGGCTTTTTGCATAAAAAATGTCATTTTTTGACCCCCATTTGACCCCCCAGGGCAAAATCAAAATTCCGAAACCTTACTGCACATCTACATGACCCCACCAACCATCTCTCAAAAGATGAATAGGCTGCTGAGTAAAATGTAAGAGGAGTTCAGGGAAAACGGGGCTTTTTGTATAAAAAACATTATTTTTCGACCCCAATTTGACCCCCCGGGGCAAAATCTAAATTCAGAAACCTTACTGCACATCTACATGACCCCACCAACCATCTCCCAAAAGATGATTAAGCTACTGTGTAAAATGTAGAAGGAGTTCAGGGAAGACGGGGCTCTTTGCATAAAAAACATCATTTTTCGACCCCCATTTGACCCCCCGGGGCAAAATCAAAATTCCGAATCCTTACTGCACATCTACGTGACAACACCAATCATCCCCCAAAAGATGATAAGGCTGCTGAGTAAAATATTAGAGGAGTTCAGGGAAGATGGGGCTTTTTGCATAAAAACAACATTTTTCGACCCCCATTTGACCCCCCGGGGCAAAATCAAAATTCCGAATCCTTACTGCACATCTACGTGACAACACCAATCATCCCCCAAAAGATGATAAGGCTGCAGTAAAATCAAGAGGAGTTCAGGGAAGATGGGGCTTTTTGCATAAAAAACGTCATTTTTCGACCCCACTTTGACCCCCCTGGGGCAAAATCAAAATTCCGAAACCTTACTGCACATCTACATGACACCACCAATCATCCCCCAAAAGGTGATTAGGCTGCTGAGTAAAATGTAGGAGTTCAGGGAAGACGGGACTTTTTGCACAAAAAACGTCATTTTTTGACCCCCATTTGACCCCCCGGGGCAAAATCAAAATTCCGAAACCTTACTGCATATCTACATGACACCACCAACCATCTCCCAAAAGATGATTAGGCTACTGTGTAAAATGTAGAAGGAGTTCAGGGAAGACTGGGCTTTTTGCATAAAAAAACATCATTTTTCTACCTCCATTTGACCCCCTGGGGCAAAATAAAAAATTCCGAAACCTTACTGCACATCTACGTGACAACACCAATCATCCCCCAAAAAATGATAAGGCTGCTGAGTAAAATGTAAGAGAAGTTCAGAGAAGACGGGGCTTTTAGCATAAAAAACGTCATTTTTCGACCCCAATTTGACCCCCCAGGGCAAAATCAAAATTCCAAAACCTTACTGCACATCTACATGACCCCACCAACCATCTCCCAAAAGATGATTAGGCTACTGTGTAAAATGTAGAAGGAGTTCAGGGAAGACGGGGCTTTTGCATAAAAAACATCATTTTTCGACCCCCATTTAACCCCCCGGGGCAAAATCAAAATTCCGAATCCTTACTGCACATCTACGTGACACCACCAATCATCCCCCAAAAGATGATAAGGCTGCTGAGTAAAATGTAAGAGAAGTTCAGGGAAGATGGGGCTTTTTGCATAAAAAACGTCATTTTTCGACCCCTATTTGACCCCCTGGGGCAAAATCAAAATTCCGAAACCTTACTGCACATCTACATGACACCACCAATCATCCCCCAAAAGGTGATTAGGCTGCTGAGTAAAATGTAGAAGGAGTTCAGGGAAGACGGGACTTTTTGCACAAAAAACGTCATTTTTCGACCCCCATTTGACCCCCCGGGGCAAAATCAAAATTCCGAAACCTTACTGCACATCTACATGACCCCACCAACCATCTCCCAAAAGATGATTAAGCTACTGTGTAAAATGTAGGAGGAGTTCAGGGAAGAAAAGTGTGACAGACGGACGGACATGAGTAACAACAATATACCCGAACTTTCTTTAGAAAGTGCGGGTATAACAATTCTAGTTACCTGAATTAAAAAACATCTTGGAAGCCTCCATGTAATGCTTATTTCTGTAACGAAAACTCTAACAAAAAAATTACTAAAGTTAACTATAGATTACTATAATTAACTTTAGTAAATTTATACTTTGATTTACTATGGATCTTTACGCTAGAACTTTTTTAAAAAAGATTTAGAACCTTAATATTCCTTAAATTACATTTCAATAATATAATTTTTTTAACAAAAAAATAGGTAAATATACAAGAAATATTTCTAGATAGTATCAGAAAATTGCTTGTAGGAATTAAAATTAAAAAAAAATTCAAAAAGAAAGTCATTGTAAATATACTTTGATTTACTATTATACTAGTGAAAACTTTGATATAATACTGTTAACTATAATACTTTTTGTTAGGATAGGGATACTTTATACACAAAGATGAAGTCTATTCCAGATGAAAATCGATAAATTCCTAATAAATCTTCAAAACATTTAACAAAATAAACTTTTAAAAAAATCAATAAATTGAGAAGAAGTACAATGTATTCAAAAATTCTTATTTTTTTTCAAGATTAAAGGGAAAAATTGTGTACTTGAAATACCTGTAGTAATAATGGTTTATTACTTTATTTTTTCCACTTACAACGATCCAAAAAGATCAAGTTTTTTTTTTATACTTGAATGTCAAATCTGACCGTTGATCGGGTTGGTTTGATAGATCCCGTACGAAACAGTCCGGGCGGCTTAGGCACGGCTTAAGCACGGATTCCGTTCCAGAAACCCGTGCTTATAAAATTCCTGCTCCTATGTAAAGTATGTATGGAAAGCCGTGCCTGAGAGGGGTTGAGGCACGGACACGGCACGGGATACTGGCCAAATTATTTAAATGAGATCACACGGTTTTACAAAATCCGTGTCAGAAAGCCGTGCTTGTTTCCATATATGGACTCACGGATTCTGTAAACCCGTGTCTGAAACCCGTGTCCTTTACCATATATGGAGACACGGATTTTTGGAAACCCGTGTCAAAAAAGCCGTGCCATATACCATATATGGAGTCACGGGATCTGTGCTTTTGTCTAGATCTAGGTCAGGGCCTGTAGAGAATCTCCTGATGTAACTGCATGTGGATGCCAAAATGGTGACTGAAACCAAACTTCACAATGCTTTACATTATCATTATGCTTAGCTTTAGAATTTTAAAAGTTGAAAATCTTATATGAATGTTAAAGATTAAGATTGCTTTATCAGTTACAATCCATGCTAGTTTTTAATTGAGAATTTAATTGATAATGTACAATTCTGGGAATTGTAATTTTATTTTAGTTTGAACAATCTGAGAAAGAATTTAATTTAAATAAACCTTTTTGTAGCACAGTGATGACACATAAAATATCTGGAGATGAACTGGTGAGAGTACAACTAGAGTCATTCAAATAAACAGAGATGCAAATTGTTTCAATTCATGCAATTTTGTTCAATATCAACATTGCAAATAGACAGAAAGATCATGAAAATTGAAAATGAACTAATATTTATTCTACCTTAGACTTACTGCATTTAGTTTAAAAGTGAGTAAATCCTCCAAGACTGATATAAATCAATTCCAACTGACATCTATTAGTTTAATATCCTTTAACTAGAGTAAAAAAGACACATTCTTAGCTCATGACTATGAATCCCTCCAATTCAATATTCAAATAAAGGAAGTTATTATTGAGCATGCTCAGTAAAAAGCCGTGAGATATAAATAAATCATTTGAAGCAAAACCCGCCCGAGTTAAAAACTGTCTCCCAGGGACACGGATTCCGTGCCTCTACACAGGTTTCTGTGAGCGAGGATTCCTCACTTTCAGACTCAAAAACCGTGTCCGTGTCTTGGACATGCAGAACCCGTGCTGCTGTTTAAAAACCCGTGCGGATTCCGTGCCTTAGCCGTGCCCAAGCCGTGCCTATTCCACCTCGAACTTTCGTACGGGATTATACCATCCTTTTCTAATATAATAGGGGGTACCTTTTTAGCTAAAAGTCTACTCTGCTCTTTCTTTCTTTCTTTTTTTTTTTTGCCAAACAGATAACATAACACAGAGTTAATTGCCGAAAAAGAGCATTAATTATTGAAAATGCCAAAAATATTCTCTATCGTCAAAGTGCATATGATACTCGTAAAAAAAAATCTAAGGCACAAAATAGGACAGTAGACTTCATGTAAAAAAAAAAAATATCTCATTAAATGTACACAGAGATAAATGTGTTATACACACTGCAAATACTGACATAGAAATAAGAATTGTACACTATATAGTATATCGGCCTAAGATTCTTTTTATATTCCTATATGTAAATGTTTGATACCCTATTGTGGCCCCTCCGGGGACCCTGATTTCAAAATTAACTTACAATTGCACTTTCTGGAGTTGATTGCAAGTGCATCAATTTAATACATCTTTACCCTGTTCTTCTCGAGAAGATTTAAAACGCTTTCCTTTAAATATTCCCACGATACCTTCAGCATTATATCGTAAAATTTCCTTATTTTTTGAGCACTTCATACACTTGTCACCTGTATATTTAGTTTATATCTCCAAGTTACTAGTAATTAGATGTGCAAAAGCATGTTCTACGTACGTTAATATAAAATAAATCTGTTTTGAAAGAATATCAATCTATCAGTTTCACTCTTGCCATCAGCCCAGGGTAATGCACTACTGGTACTTGGAATTTGAACTCCATCAGCCTTTTGAGTAAGGTCCTGGGTTGAATTGTTTCACTGTCGAGGAAATAACACAGAAATATTTCATATATTAATTGAATCTGGAAAAAAAATCTTTATTAAGTATATTTTGTCTTCAAAACTGCAAATTGAAGTACTAGTAGAACTTTCAACTTGCGATTTGTTATCTTTTTTTTTTTGTTCTGTACACAGTTTCAAAAGAAAGATACTTAAAGATGCTCATATTTGACAGTCGATTTGATGCGTTTAAACAATCTTAATTTGTATTGATCAGTATTTATAAATTATCAATTTGAGGTACTTAATGTTTATCAATGCAATGTTGTTGCTGATATAATATTTTACACGTTTTGGGATTTCATCCACTCAATGTCAAGGGGTTTTGTGATTTCTGAATTCCACACAATCGCAGTCACAAATATTGACAGTGTAAGGATGGCTGTATTAAGGAAGACACCGTTTCATATGTTTCCACTGAGGTGCTAAAATATGCACTGTGCATTCAATAGCAGTGTAAAAAGGTGTTTTTGAAAATAAATGTTCTGTTGTTTCCCTTGAAAAAGGGAGAGTGCATGCATGTTTAGATTAATTTATTATTCAGCAACCCCAAGGCATAGAAGATATGAAAGGATTGTCTGACGTCTTTTATGCATGGCTACACATGGTTACTATGAAATGTATAAATGGAACATTCTTAAAGGTGAATCTATGTAGAGCAATTTTAGCTCATGCTTGGTGTTTGAAATGAAGGATGAGGGAAAGATGCAAAAAGACAGCTGTTCTGAAACGAAGTTGGATGAGAATTACATGTAAGTAAATATGGTATATAGGTGACGGTTTTATAAATGTATAAGTTGTTATTAAAAGACAATGCGTAACTTAACACGATTAATGCATGTTCCATTCTAATTTTAAGTTAAAATATTTTTTAGCATGTCTAAAACAAAACTTTCCATGATCTTATAGTAATTCGCGGAGTGTTGTGTCTCGTGGGCTACAGCGCTCACTTGACCCGTCTGTTCTTCAGAAGGATTTTTATTTAAATTACTTACCTTTATATTTCTATGATTCCAAAAAATTATTTGTTCTGATTTATTTCTTAGAAACACGATAATCCCATGATGTAGCCCCACCTTACTATTGGAAGCCCTGAGATGCATCCTCTGTCTGAAATTTCTTGCATATGACTTATTGTGGCCTTGATTTTCTTAAGATTTTTTATAGATTGTCCCCTAATGTAAAACAAAACTAAAAAAACCTTCAGTTGTCTTATCTTATTCACTGTGGCCATGATTTGAAAACTACACTTTCTTGGGATCGATGATTTTATGTTAATTTGAGTTATGCTGTTTTATATAATTTATTTTTTTTTAAGTCAATGAACAACTTTTTTGTGTTCTTTTGATACTCACCAAAACCCGGGGATCCCATTTGAAACGAATTCCCCATACTTGAGAATACTTGCAAATTATTGACTTTGCAGTCTTACAAATGTAATTATAGCAATTAATTAAATACTTAAGAAATGAGGCTTATTTCAACTTATGTTATACGAAATAACTTAGGGCAGTTTACGCTTTATTAACCGAGAAGCATATTTTTGTTTTCATATAAAGCAGACTTTTTGCAAAATATGCGTGAGAAGAAAATACTTTCTGTACACGTGGTCTTCAGCTCGACATTTATATATATCCACGACGTAATGTCAATTAATAAGGGTAATTTCCATTCTTGTGTCGATACGATACCGGTATCCTGGTGAGTTTGAAATAAAATATACCACAGAATCTACCACATTTAGCTGTTTCATATTTGGATATTTTACTCTAAAAAGACGTTAATGGTAATCTAACAACAAAGCTCTATGATAAACGTGATGACTTCAACGTTTCAATTGTCAACATCCCATACGAAGGCTATCCAATAAATAATTATGTCCTCGGTTCTCATAAAGAAACAAAAACTTTTTTCAATGATTTAGCCTTAATGATTTCACCTGAATATTTTCTTTTAATTAAAACACTTATCTGTTACATTTTTATCCAATTTCTGATTGTTTTTAGAACACATTTTGAGTATGGCTCTTTGTATAGTGGAATATGACAGATCCTATGATTTGAATTTTTTCCTTGACTTGTTTCTTCTTTCTGTAAGTTTTTTCAAGTTTGGAAAAGGAAACAAGTCTAAGGATGAAAGATCTAGCGAATATTATTGGTGTGACAAATCATTAACTTTCTGTTTATCCCTTACTCTTCATGGAGTGTGGATTTGGACGCTGTCATGAAGAAATCTAATGTTGAGGATTTCTGATTCTGGATCTATTCTCTCATAAACCTTTCGATTTTTTTTTTTCAAAAATTTCCTTTCTAGACTGAACTGCCTCCCCGAATAACAATTTGAACAAAAAATCACTAATATTTAAGAAAATGGCGTATAAAACTTTTTAATGCTTTTGTAATCCTTTACTCTTCTCAGACTTTGGCTGTTTTTGCCAAGTGGATTTTATTGTAAATTTGTTTTGAGGGTTTAAAGCACTGGGTTCAAGTTTCACTATTTGTTTGAATTTCAGACAAACGTGGATATCTTCATTTTTTTCATATTTTTTCCAAACATTTAGTGACCATTGAGTATTAAGTTTTTCACAGTCAAATGTTTCTTTAAAACAGTGTAAACTAGCCCAAAAATAATGCTTATCAATTTTGCTATGTGTCTTAAAGTCACACAAACATCATCAGTGATAATTTGTTGAATTTTGACAAACGATACATTGGTTGTTTTTATTAAAAGTTTATCTTGCCAAGGAGGGTACCTTTTTTTGATACCCATTGTATCATTTTTGTTCTTTAAAATCCACCTGCTCATGTGTCAATAAAACAGGCATTGGTTGCCGTAAATTTCACATATTTCAGTGAATATTTCTTTGTGATACTTAATTAACGAGTTTTACAGCAGTCATGTAGCGTTTAACTTGATTTCACTTAAGAAATAAATAAGTTTATAAACAAGTGGGTCGGTCACGTGATCAAATCCTGTGAAGGCCGAAGGCCTTCTCAGAAGATTTGATCACGTACCGACCCACTTCAATTCCCATTGAAGTTTATAAACTTGCTATTTATTACTTATATATACATTTGAGACAGACGATTGAATATTTTCGAATATTAATTATTGCACTAACCGTCCGTCGTAGATTTTGGAAAATGACGCAAGGTGTAAATCGGCTTGAATGGCGGTTACGCTTCGAATTCATTAGGCTAAGGATTTTATTTCTAGGGGACTATTTTGTGAAAGGCTACTTGTGATCAGTAATAGTGAACAGATTGTTGTCTGGGAATATTTCTGTTCGTGAAAATTGATAATCAATGCTGAAAAGACACAAGAAACACGTCCGAAGATCGATGATAAAAAGTTGGAGGAATTTCGGTCGCTAGAAAGGGATGGATGATCCGATGGATGGAAACACTTGACCGTGCCAGTTTATTAGCAGTCAAGTATTTAAGATCAAAAACTTCTACGATTTCAATAACTAAAGGCATATTTATGATGTAAAGAAATCACGGGGACACTAGCGAAAACTTACATTGAACTACGACAGCGCCGAGGTGTTTGTCAGCTGTTCGTGGTGTAATTGCAATGCTTTGAATGCTTTGATATTTTCCAACAGATTTACACATTTATCGTGAGTAGAATTTGATGGAAAAAAATTATAGTTTATCGTGAAGACTTAACTAAAAGTCTACCCCCAAAAAATAAGGATAAACATTAGAGACTGTACAGCTGAAAAAAAAAGTGACATAAAAGTTGTAAACAAAAGCTACTTTCTATCGGTATATTCTCCATGAACACAGGTTAAATCGATAGCCAAGAATCTGTATGAAATACTTGTTAACGCTATAAATAAAATTATTATTCTGCCTGCATATTTTGTTCATTTTTATACATGAAAAGCAAGTAGAGCAAGTCATTTTATATTTATGCACCGGTAGATATTATTGCGCCGTGTGATTAGGTCACGTATTGACCTCTGACCTCAGACAAACTTCATACAGAATTGAAGATATTTGTTCTCCGTATGTTTATATAATAGGGAGATACCACAAATGTATATATTTCCCATTGAAGTTTATAAACTTGTTATTTATTACTTATATATACATTTGAGATGGACAATTTAATATTAAATTAAATATATTCGGATATAAATATTGCACTAACCGGTCGCCTTAGATTTCCGTAAAAAGTACGCCAGGTGTAAATCGGCTTGAAAGGCGGTTACGCTTCGAATTCGTCAGGCTAAGAAATCTATTTCGAAGGGAATACTTTGTTAAAGGCTACTTGTGATCAGTAATAGTGAACAGATTCTTGTCTGGGAATATTTGTATATGTGAAAATTGATCATTAATGCTGAAAAGACACAAGAAACACGTCCGAGAATTGATGATAAAAAGTTGGAGGAATTTCGGTCGCCTGAAAGGGATGGATGGATCCGATGGATTTAGACACTTGCCCGAGCCAGTTAATTTGCAATTAAGTATTAAACTTGATCAAAAACATTTAATCTACGATGTCAGTAACTAAAGGCATATTTATGATGTTAACACGGAGACACTGGCGACAGTTTACATTGAAGAACGACAGCGCCGATCGAGATGTTTCTCAGCTGTTCGTGGCGTGATTGCATTGCTTTGATATTTTCCAACAGATTTACACATTTCTCGTGAGTAGAATTTAATAAAAAATTTAGTTTTAGCCTATATCATGAATATTTAACTTAAGCTCTTACAAAAATAAGGATAAACTAAAAAGCTAGAGACTATACAGCTGACAAAAGTGACACAACTTGTAAGCAACTGCTTGTTTCTATCGGTATATTCTCTATGTGCACAGGTTAAATCGATCGCCAAAAAATATATGAAGTACTTATTCACATTGTAAATAAAACAATTATTTCACTTGCTTATTTTGTTGATTTCTATACATGAAAAACAAGTCATTTTATATTTATAAGTAACGGTAGATATTATTGCGCCGTGTGATTCGACCATGTATTGACCTCTGAACTCTGACAAACTTCATACAGAATTGAAGATATTTTCTCTCTGTATGTTTATATAGTGGAAAGATACCACAAATGTATATATTCTTGATTATTGATTCTTTACCATTCATTAAGAAATAAATAACAAGATTATTTAAACTTCAATGGGAATTAAAGTGGGTCGGTCGCGACCCACTTCAATTTCCATTGAAGTTTTATAAACTTGTTAATTATTACTTATATATACATTTGGGACATACAATTGAATATTCTCGAATATAAATTATTGCACTAATCGTCCGTCGTAGATTTTCAAGGTGTAAATCGGCTTGAATGGCGGTTACGCTTCGAATTCATCAGGTTAAGGAATTTATTTCTAAGGGAATATTTTGTGAAAGGCTACTTGTGATCAGTAATGGTAAATTCTCCTATTGTGTTTTGTTTTTATGGATTTTTGATCTTGAATACTGTTCGTTATCTTCATATGTTTCATTGAAATAAACTTCATTCCTTATAACTTAATTTCAGTGTAGACATTGAATCCATTTTTCCTCAGAATTAAGCTTCAAATTGAGCATGTTTTAAAAGTAGGCAACTGAAGTTGGTGATATATATTAAACGAAATGGATTAAATATTTTACCCAGTCAAATGACGTGTTACAACTTTAATTGAAATATTGGAATCTATATATAAGTTCGTAGCACTTTTCACGAAGTATACAAATGGTGTTGAAAAGAATTTTAAATTAGCCTTAGATTTTTAAGTAGTTTATGCATTTGCAATATTGAAATGTATAGATGACCGCAGTTCTGGAGGTTAATGTGCTAAAATCAAGTGACTCTGACACCAGTTGACAAATCTAAATAAAAAATCTAATCGTCCTGAACATGTAGATATGAATCACATTAAATTTGTCTGATATCAGAAAAAAATCGCCCATCCTTATAAAAAATTTATTTTTCTGAAAAATTCGCCGATGTGTCCATTTGTCACATTAACTGTTTCCCCTGGGTCATTTTAGAAAAAAAAAACGCAAAGTAGAATACAATAGATCGGCCAATATTTTCCTCAGATTAAACTTTTCTGAAACTTTGATATTTTGTTCTATGATAGAAAAATTCTCTTTATATATAATATGAAAGAAATTCAACCGCACATTTTTTGCCCACATAATTTGAAATATGGCCTACATACCCTCGTAAAAAGATTGTGAAATCAGACGCTCGATTTTAGAATGAGTCTTTTTTCAAAATTATCAATTTATCCATTGCAAACTTGTGTGATACTGTTTATTAAGACATCCCTCTGGCTACTTTCATTCAGTAAGTTATATTGATACTAGTAAATTTGAGTAACAAATGATGTGAAATAGTTTTCTTAAGAGAAAAAGTATAATTAAATTTTTACAATATTTGTAGGAGTTTCGAATCTCAGAAAAACTTAAAATTTAAAGCCTTTTAATCTGTAGATCTTTCTCTTGTCTTATACAGATACGGAAGGTGGGGCCCATACCAGGTTGTTCAGGCAGCTATATGTTTCTTCAATATATGGCCAACAGGATTTCAGCTCCTGATAGGAGTTTTCATCGGTACATTTTCTGAATTTTATTAGCTCACCTTAGCTGAAAGCTCAAGTGAACTTTTCTGATCACCTTTTGTCCGTCGTCCGTCTGTCTGTCCGTCCGTCTGTAAACTTTTCACATTTTCAACTTCTTCTCAAGAACCACTGATCCAATTTTTACCAAACTTGGTACAAAGCATCCTTGGTAGATGGGGAGTTTAAATTGCTAAAACGAAAGACCAAGTCCCTCTTCCAGGGGAGATAATCAAGAAAAGGCAAAAATAGGGTGGGGTCATTAAAAAATCTTCTTCTCAAGAACCACTGGGCCATAAAAGCTGAAACTTATGTGGAAGCATCCTAAGGTAGTGTTGATTCTAAATTTATTAAAATCAAGATTGGGAAGAGGTTAGGGGGGCCACAATAGATATAAGGAGAGGGGAAATCTGGCAAAGAACTGTATCACCCAAAGTTACTCAGGTGAGCGATGTGGCCCATGGGCCTCTTGTTACTTTTCTGCTCTTCTTTCAAAGATTTATTCATGAGAGATCTAGTCTTTAGAATTAGCTTTGGTGCACTTGTGCTTACTGTTTGTGTGTGTGCGTCGCGTATTTTGAAATTTTGAAGGAAAAGAAATTAACAAATATAAATTACAACAATGAAATCATTTTTTTCGGATCCCAAACTCGACTCTGAATTAACATTTTTAATCTTATTATGTTCCCCAAACGAAGTTGGGGAACATATTGTTTTTACTCTGTTTCTTATTATTATTATGTCGCCCCGAACGAAGTCGGGGACGACATATTGATATTGTACGCATGTTTTTTTTATCCAGGCTGTTTCTCGGAGATGGCTGGGACAATCTTCCTGAAACTTTCCTTCAAGGACGATCACTGGTTGTAGTTGTGCAGTGAGGTCGTTCAGTTCCAATATGTCTACCGTTGCCATGGAAACCTGTAAAAAGCGACAAATTTTGTCCGAGAGTGTTCTCTCTGGTCCCTTAAACGTTCGTCATGAAACTTTTCTTATTTTAATGATTAGTACCTGTAGTTCTGCAACTCGTATTTAAAATTTTCATATAATCGATTATTGCCATGGAAACCAGGTGAAAGTTAAAATTCTTTAATTTCGATTTTCTCAATAACTACTCAGGCAATCGTTTTGAAACTTTCAATGTTTATTCCTTGCAATGTGTCAAAGTGATTTCTACTTTCAAAATAATTGTAATGAGTCGCTCACGGTTGCCATAGAAACGAAACAGAAAAAAAGATTCAGATGTACACATGTGTTCTCCAAGGTCTAGGTCAAAGGGTCAAAGTTCGTCGTATCCAATAAAAGTTCTTTTCACAAGGATTACATATTTGAAATACGAAAGCCCTAGTACTTACCGTTCAAACGTTATGGCTATTTACTATGTTCAAGACGCCCCCCCCTCTTTTTATGAAGCACACAGCCAAGTAGAATACACAGATATAACATATACAACTTACAAGTAACTTTTTAAAATCTTCATTCATAAAATTCAGTTCCCGTCATGTGATATTTTGCCATCATTCATTCTCCTTCTGTTTTGTCTCTTGAATTTATAAATATTTTATTTTATCTATATAAAAAAAAAATAACGATTGTCAGCTGCATTTATTATCATTTCGCGTTTTCTTGTATATCTATCACTTGTATATCATTCATTTCATTAGATAGTGCAAGTATAAATTAAAAAATTGGTACGTCATTTCCATAGTTTTTATTCATTCATAAATTCTTTGATCCGCTCCTGATGGTTCGCAAAGCCTTGATCACCACTGTATACAAAACATTCATCTCGCCGAAAATGTTCATGATTCCGCTAAACTGAGAAAGTTCACACATGATTTATTATCTCATAACACACATCAGCTCTCTGCAATGCAGAAATGCTCGAATTGAAGGGGAAAATTCAGGAGTTATGGATGAGAAAAATTCAGGAGTTATTATGTCGCCCCGAACGAAGTCGGGGACGACATATTGATATTGTACGCATGTTTTTTTTTATCCAGGCTGTTTCTCGGAGATGGCTGGGACAATCTTCCTGAAACTTTCCTTCAAGGACGATCACTGGTTGTAGTTGTGCAGTGAGGTCGTTCAGTTCCAATATGTCTACCGTTGCCATGGAAACCTGTAAAAAGCGACAAATTTTGTCCGAGAGTGTTCTCTCTGGTCCCTTAAACGTTCGTCATGAAACTTTTCTTATTTTAATGATTAGTATCTGTAGTTCTGCAACTCGTATTTAAAATTTTCATATAATCGATTATTGCCATGGAAACCAGGTGAAAGTTAAAATTCTTTAATTTCGATTTTCTCAATAACTACTCAGGCAATCGTTTTGAAACTTTCAATGTTTATTCCTTGCAATGTGTCAAAGTGATTTCTACTTTCAAAATAATTGTAATGAGTCGCTCACGGTTGCCATAGAAACGAAACAGAAAAAAAGATTCAGATGTACACATGTGTTCTCCAAGGTCTAGGTCAAAGGGTCAAAGTTCGTCGTATCCAATAAAAGTTCTTTTCACAAGGATTACATATTTGAAATACGAAAGCCCTAGTACTTACCGTTCAAACGTTATGGCTATTTACTATGTTCAAGACGCCCCCCCCCCTCTTTTTATGAAGCACACAGCCAAGTAGAATACACAGATATAACATATACAACTTACAAGTAACTTTTTAAAATCTTCATTCATAAAATTCAGTTCCCGTCATGTGATATTTTGCCATCATTCATTCTCCTTCTGTTTTGTCTCTTGAATTTATAAATATTTTATTTTATCTATATAAAAAAAAAATAACGATTGTCAGCTGCATTTATTATCATTTCGCGTTTTCTTGTATATCTATCACTTGTATATCATTCATTTCATTAGATAGTGCAAGTATAAATTAAAAAATTGGTACGTCATTTCCATAGTTTTTATTCATTCATAAATTCTTTGATCCGCTCCTGATGGTTCGCAAAGCCTTGATCACCACTGTATACAAAACATTCATCTCGCCGAAAATGTTCATGATTCCGCTAAACTGAGAAAGTTCACACATGATTTATTATCTCATAACACACATCAGCTCTCTGCAATGCAGAAATGCTCGAATTGATGGTGGCATGTCAGATTCGTTTTTCGGTAGAACCTCTAAAATGAAAGTGAAAGAGGGAAATTTCAGAGTTCTCACTGGCGTTACAATACACAAAATAATTCGGCTGATCTTCTTCATAAATTAGATTTCCCAAGCTTTTATCATAGGAAAGATACTGCCAATTAACAAGTATGAGGCTCAGTTCAGTACATCTGCCAGATTTCTTTTATGCAAGTCTGCAAATTGAGGAACTTGTAATTTTCCTGCACTACTTTCTTCTCCTACCGATTCTAAAAATAATGAGTGGGATGTACCGAATTAAGGTCTTCTGTTTCCAATGGAAAGGACTGATATAACTCAATGGTTGTTCAAACTTAGCTTATGGACTTTTGTTTTAGTGATGATAAAAATGAAAGTCTTGTCTAATACGGGGCGACATATGCTATTGCTTGCAATAGCAGACTTTCTAGTTATTATTATTTTTCTTCTTCCTGGGAAAATTTTGTCCACGAGTGATCTTGTAAACTACACATCCGACTTAGGTGAAACCTTTTTAGGGTTAGTAGGCATGTTATGTAGAGTTGCCAAACAAAGGTCATTTTGCGCGCACGTGCTTGCAAGAGCGCGCACGTGCAGTAGGTGAAATTACCAATATAATGGATATTGCCGTAACTTTTCTATTTTTTGATGAAACTTTTTGAAACTCATAATGTAAGGATACATTAGTAGTATAAACAAGATAGCATGGTCAAAATAGCAAGATCTCACGCGCATGCACGTGCGCTTCGCTCTGATTGGCTGAAACTAAAGTCTCAATAACTTTCTTGTTTCTTGTCATAATCCTTTGAAATTTTGAACATAGTCCTACATTATGAAGATCTACCGCATGATATATAAGAATTTTCATGAAAGCATGCGCATGTGCGCGTGCTGCAAACTGATTGGCTGAAACTTTAAATGGCAATATCTCCTTTGTTTTTTGACGAAATTCTTTGAAATGTTAAATATAGTCATGCATTAGGATATCCTACAAATGATATAGAAAAAAAATTATGAAATTACGTGCATGCACGTGTGCTGCAATCTGATTGGCTGAAACTTTAAATTGCTATTTCTCCTTTGTTTTTTGACGAAATTCTTTGAAATGTTAAATATAGTCATGCATTAGGATATCCTACAAATGATATAGAAAAAAAATTATGAAATTACGTGCATGCACGTGTGCTGCAATCTGATTGGCTGAAACTTTAAATTGCTATTTCTCCTTTGTTTTTTGACGAATTTTTTTGAAATTTAAAATATAGTCATGCATTAGGATATCCTACGAAATGATATAGAAAAAAAATCATGAAATCACGTGCATGCACGTGTGCTGCAATCTGATTAGCTGAAACTTTAAATGGCTATAACTCCCTTGTTTTTCAACCAAACAGGATGGGATTTAGAACATAGATAGATGTAAGGAACTCCTACAAGAAGGTATGATCATCATGCACATGCACGCACGTGCGTGCATTTGAAACGAGTATATTTAAAAATACTCTTGAATGAGTGATTTTTATTACTTTTGGACTGAAAGCTTTAATATATAGTATATTAAAATATATAAATAGTGTAGACAAGATGATATGGTCATAACGCACATGCATTCACATGCGCTTGGGTGCAATGCTAAAAATTGAATATAATTGGTATCCTTCTGGGAAAGCGTTGTAAAAGTCAAAAATGCAGAGTTTGTCTTATTTAATGAAGCTTACAGGGAACATGGCACCGAAAGGGAGTTGAGGAGCGTTTGGGGAACATCTGTAACGGTTCCCGTTACAATTAGCACTAGTTTATTCATGAGGTTGATGGATGTTTTTTTTTAAATCCTTGTTTTTGTCTTGTTAATATTTTTAGGTTACCGACCAGATTTTCAGTGTGCAGCCCCAGAGATAGACAACACGGATGTAAAAAACGATTCAATTTACATAACATACGACAAATGCAACATCAAAACATTTCTGAACAACACAAATCAAGGGAGCAATCACCTCATAAACCAGACTTCATGTATTCATGGATTTCAGTACAGTCTAGAAAAACACAGTACAATTGTGACAGAGGTAATTTCTTTTCTTAAGAGAAGTGACAAGGATAAAGGATTAAACAAAATTAAATATCAATTTAAATTTCATTAAAAATGATAGTATTTTGCAACATTTATTACAGAAAAATGAATCCCTCTTTATTACCTACATGTATATTGCATTTCAATAAGATACAGGTGAGAATATTTCAAAATAATCTGATTTATGTTCCTTAGTTTTCTCGTCAAAATACTGAGCTTGTTTTTTGTAAATAATAAAATTTTTGCTCCGTTATTCAACAATATTTATTAAGTGACAAATTAAAAAACAACGGCAAGCGCTTGATACCACTCGTAATGGTAGGGCAACCCAGTTTTTAATAATAAAAACATGATGTTGCTTAAAAACTCTACATGTGGTCATTTCCTATCCCCTTTCTGTTACTGTAGATTCCTAATTATACGCGAGGAATTAATTATCGCGTTATTTCGTGAGAAACAATACTCGCGAAATATAATTACTCGCTTTTATTTTTATGTTGCTGAAATCCATATAAATTCTATTAATCAAGCGTCCATTCGCGAATTATTATACTCGCGATTTGACGTTAGAGAGCCATATGGCGATAATAAGTACTCGCGAAAAATAAGGAATCTACAGTATTTGCCATACTTTGATCTTGAGGTGCTTGTATGCCTTAATACAGAAAAAAATACTAAGAGTTTATAAAAATTATTTCAACATTAGATAAGTATTTATTTACAAGCAACGCATCTAAGGAATCCTTGAGGGAAAAAGTTAAGGACAGATGATACAAACAAACTTTTGTCAAATGTAAAATGAATAACTTTCACCGCGTAGTTTTTAAGTTTTTATTCAAATTTGCACAAAAATGGAATTTGAAGTGAAAAAATATTTGTATAGATTAATAAGATGGTTTCAGAAGGGTAGACTTTTGAACACCACAGAAGGTTTACAATTTCTTTATATTCTAGAAATGTATTATTTGCATCATTTGCAATGAAATTAGGCCAAAAAATATATACCATCCAGGCATCCATTTTTTGTTTGTATCATCTGTCCTTAACATTTGTGATTTTGTTCTTCTAATTCCTTATCAGTTTAGAACTTTTTTGACATTATAAGTTGATGGTTTATTGTTTTTCACCATTATTTTAAAACAAGAAATGTTTGTAAAATACTTATACCCTCTATCAAATATTTGGTTTTTTCTAAGTCCAAGGAACATAACTCTGTCAAAATGGCTTGATCAATGGCTGATGCCCAGAGCAGAACTTGACACAGATATCAGTATGATAAATCTGTATACTAGTAGTTACTAAATGCCATGTCAATATGTGCAACCTCTGAAAAGAAAATGATCGGAAGCTGCAAATGATTGGAATTTTTCTAAGTCCAAGGCGCAAAATTATGCCCAAAATAGTCCGATCGTACCCAAAACATAAGCTGACCTAGATTTTCTTATGATAAACCTGTGTATGAAATTTTACTTCAATATTTGCAACTTTTGAGAAGAAATTGATGGTGGACCGACAGACAAACCGAACAATCGAGAGACAGGAGCAAAGCAATATGCGCTTCCTTTCTTCGAAAGGGGGCCAAAAATCAACTATGAATACACAAAAATCTTCGTAAAAAATAAAATTTGCATATTCGGATAAAATACAATTAAGAAAAAAGACTATTTGTTTCTGTCAAACGCCGCGCGTTCATTACTTAAATGCTGATGTACATTTTTAAAAGAGAACGCGAACAGAATGCAAGTTAACGATTTCAGGTCTCATGACTTTATGACGTCTATTTTGCAGATGGACCTTGTTTGCGATCGCGCTCCACTAGCTGAGCTTGTGCAAACTTTAGTCATGGCAGGACAATTAGCTGGGGCGGCCATAGCATCTTCGCTAGCAGACAAATTGGGAAGAAAGACGATTCTACTTTCCTCTCATCTTCTGACAATGGCGTTTGGATTTGGGGTTGCTTTTTCACCCAATTACACAACCCTAGCGATTTTGAAATTCATTCTTGGTGTTTTGCAACAGGTAATTAATGGGGGTAAATCAACAGGGATAAATTTGCTCAAGTTTTTAAAGAAAATTCACTTCTGAAAATAAAAAAAAGAATTTAGTGAACTTGCTATGATTCTTTAGTTATTGTAGCATTTTTCATCTCGCTATTGTCTCTCGTTCACACTATGGAAATAATGAAAGGGTCGATTTTAATAGGGTTTATAATACTCTTTAACTTTTTTTATAAACAATATTAAGAGAGCATGCAATTAACATTATGAACATTTTGCAAGTGTCAAAATTCATCTTTTTCTTTTTAATTAACAAAGGGAATGGTGATGCCGAATGCTGTATTAGGATTAGAATTGTGGCCGGAAAGAATCCGTTTCTACTGCGAGGCATTAGGTTTGTTTTTCTGGACAACAGGGTTGGTTATCATGGCCCCCATTGCCTATCTGTTGAGAGACTACAGTTGGAGATATCTTCAAATTGCTCTTACCTGCTTTTCTCTGTTTAGTCTGATTCAATATTGGTAAGAATGAATAGTTACGAAAATACTCATTCATACTTAAAAAGATAATTTCAGTAAACATACGTCAAAACGTTGACTTTATTGTTTATAAGATGTCGTATTTTGGTCGTAAAACCACTTATTTTATTTATCAAATGATTGATTAATTTCCCTCCCTCCGTTTGGCTGAGATCATACAACGTTAGAATAATAATACATTATATTGACCTGCACGTGACCTTCCAGGTCAATACAAGGAATTATTGCAGGTCAATATAATGAATCATGTGACCTTCCAGGTCAATACAAGGAATTATTGCAGGTCAATATAAAGAATTATTCCTGTATCATATTTTCTGTAACAACGTGTTTTGTTGAAATTTCTCGTTAAAACTTTCAATTAAAGTGAAAACAGTCCTGTTGGAGTTTGCTATCATTTAATCATATAATAAAATAAAACATTTATTGCTGTTTTTTGAGGTCAAAACGATGATTTAGCCACTTTAGAAGTACAACATTGACTTCGCCCTTCCGGCTCAGTGAATTTTGTTTTCCTCAGATGGCTAAATCATTGTATTGACCTAAAAAAAAACAGGAATAATTGTATATTATTATATGATTGAATAATTTACATCTCTCTGATTGGCTGAGATTCAACTATGTTGGAAAAATACTACGTTGTATTGACCTGCACGTGACGTTCCAGGTGAATACAAGGATTTATTTCCTATACATTGATCTAAAAATAGATTGGGAAATCCCAAATTGATACAAATTGTTTTGGAAAGCTGTTTAAACGGCTATGATTTTTTTTTTCATGTTTAAAAAAGAACATAAGCGAATATATATTTTCGGGTGAGGGAGGTAAGAAGGGATGCAGGGACCCCCCTCCAACACTTTTATTGAACAACATTTTTTTTTACTTTTTGGCAGTCAGTTTCCCCTGATAATCATGATTATTATACTCCTTCCTTTCAAAATCTATCCTATAAAAAAGACTGACATTACATATTTATTCATGGCAACTAAAATTTATTTTTAAAAATTTCAAATTGATACGACTGGTAAGGTTTATTTACATTTTAATTCTGCTGCTCTCTTGCATTAGGTTTGGACTTAATTAAATGCAAACAAGTAATGAGCTGTATCATTTTATCAGTGAATCATATAATAAAACAATTATTACTGTTTTTTCGGTCAATACAATGATTAAGTCATCTTCGAAGTACAATATATATTCACCTCGCCCAGGCAATAATTGTATATTATACACTGTTTTTTTTATTTAACATTTTTGCGACACAACAGTCTACCTTTCCTCGAAAAACAATTAAGAACAGTTATTTAAGGGCTATATCACTAAAAGATTTTAAAACTACCAGTAGTTACATATATGATGAGTTATCTTGAATAATTGTTAATACTTATGATGGGGTAATTCATGTCGAGATAATTTTTCGTAGAATAAGTATTGTTATCTTTAGTAGTAATTCCTTCCTACATTTTTATTAACAATACGATTTTTGCCCGAAAAAAATTGAAGATTGAATTTGGCTTGTGTAAACTCGAAGGTAATTTATATTCCCATCTCATGTTATTTTTCATGTTATTTAAAGCTTAGTTGACTAATCATCTTCAAAGATTTCTATTGCATTGAACAAATCATTGGCATACAGGGTTCAAGATGAATCTTTAAGATGGCTTGTCGCAAATGGGAAGAAGAAGGAGGCTGATAGAGTGATACGAAAAGTGGCAAAATGGAATAAAATCAGTTATGAAGAGCTGAGTAAGATGGTGGAGAGAAAAATGGCGCAAACCAAAACTATTCCTGAGCAACAGACTGATGATGAGAAAACGGTTGAAGAAAGCCATGAATCCGATTCGCCTTTGGTTGAAAAATACTCAATCATTACAATTTTGCGGAATAAAACCATTCTCGCAATATCGCTGATTATGTGGTTTACATGGCAAGTTTCTACTATTTACCTTTTTTTGATTTGTAAGGGTGTGTGTATGTGAGGGATGGTGAGGGTGTGTATTTGTGTGTTTAGCGTTTAGGATTCTATAAATGAATACCTATCTTTAAGCGATTCGTCATTCACAAGTTCATGAAATAGACATGGGAAATGCAATGACTTTTAAGTGCACATGCATTATTCATTATTAAAGATCAAATGTTTTGACGTTATAGGGTTACCAACACCGTAACCTATTTTGGATTAACTCTGACGTCGACAAGGCTAGCGGGGGATCGTTATCTGAATTTCTTCTTATCCTCCTTTGTGGAATATATTGCTGTTATTCTTGAGTATATCATGCTTCGTTGGTAAGTTTATAGACACTTTGTTGATCGTCATCTAAACACCAATTTCTTGTTAAAACTATTTATTTTCTTAGCGTCTTAATTTAAAGATATTTTCTATTGAACGTTGAATGTAAGGTTGCTTTTGCATATTCTGTCAAAGTATATTAAATAAATGTTGTGTAACTTTGCTGTTCTTTAATGGAGAAAAGACATTTTATTTGAAACATTAACAAGACCACAGATACCCTCACAAACAAAATACAGAAAAATTTAAAGCGTATGGACAATATATTTCTTAAAAGCAATGTGACGATAAATAAATGCCCCCCCCCTTCAAAAAACCAATAAAAACGATTAAAAAAATAGTAAGTTAACAAACAAATAAAATTTGACTTTTCAGCCTAGGAAGAAGAACTATAACAGTTGTCTTTCATGCTATATGTGGAGTTTCCTTGGCTTCAGCTACCTTATTGAATCACTTTGCAGGTATTTATTCAACATTGTCTTACTTATTCAAACTGGTGTTTTTTGTGAGAGAAAATTCTCGATATGAACGTAAAACAACATACAATTGATCAATCAATTTTATCAAAATAATGTTATTGTGATGAAGTGAAAAAGTATTTCGGGGATGGCGATGGCAGTTTCAAAATTAGCCAAGTGTAGTGTAGAACATTGAATTGTTGATCGGGGGTATTTGTTTTGCAAACTATTATTTTTTTCTTGATTCCTCGATGTAATATATGTATATATATAATTCTTTGCGAAAAAAATCTTTAAGATGCACTTGGTCAGCGATTACTGTCGAGTCAAGTTCAAGTGTATAACATAACGCATGACCGGAAAAGGACCTTTTTATTTACGTTTCCACCAATTTTTAGAGTCCTAAATCTAAACCAATTTATATATCCCCATATTCTTATTGAAACTGACCGCCCATACGATTTTTTAATCTATTACTCAAACCTTAGGACTTTGGCAGGGGTTACTTATTCTGAGAATACTTTTGGCGAGACAATAAGAATATCATTATGCAAACTTAAATATAAAATAAATAGCCTAAAAAACTTATATCACGATATACAGTATTTTTGTCAACTACAGAAAAGAAGGAAAATGTCATTTTGGATATTTTCAGGCAACAACAGTGCACTTCAAATGTCTTCGGTGGTGACGACTTTTATTGGGAAAATGGCAATTACAGGGTCTTTTAGCACTCTCTTCTTATATACACCTGAGCTCTATCCAACAAATCTGAGGTAGTTTTTTCTACATGCTTTGTTTTTGTATAAGTTTCGAATGGATATTTTTAAAGTTTTGTTTAGGTTTAAGCCTGTTTTTATTTATTTTTCATTTTTTATGAATTTGAAATAGACTGAAAAGGATGTGATGAATGGAGGGAGGGAAATATCTTATTTAAACTTAGTTCACAAAAAAAGGAAAAAAAAAACATTTATTTTCTTTTGCAAGAAATGTTGGAATTGGGTTTTCTTCAGCCTTTTCAAGAATTGGTGCGATAGTATCTCCATTTGCTGGAACGTTGGTAAAACATTTATTTATTTACAATTTTTACCGGTCTTTAAAGTTACACGAATAAAATCTCGTATTTTAATGTTTCCCCCTACAATTTCAGGCTGAAGCAATACCCTGGGCTCCAGGAACGATATTTTCTGCAATGTGCTTCACTGTGACATTACTGATCTTATGTGTACCCGAAACACGTGGTTCTGAACTTCCCCAGTCTTTGAGAGAAGTGAAGTTATGGTACACCGAAAATAGTGGCATTCACAAACGAAACAAAACCACGAACACAAAGCTTTGAGGAAATCCTAATTTTTATAACCACTGAGATGAGAGATTTATCTTAAACTGCACTTATCAACACAATGAATTTTTGCCAGATAAAATATTCTTGGGGCAGATAAAGTTACTTTCACATGTTTACCATAAACAACATTTGAATAATAATTCTTTCTTGTAACTTTTTACATTTTAAAATGTCTTTTGAACAAAAAATGAAATGAAAAACGAACAGTTCCAGAGTCCAGTCAAACATAAATCACGAGCAGAGCAAACACGGACCTATCAAACATCAGAGGTGGGAATGGGTGCCAATGAGGAGTAACCATCCCCTACCAACCGGCTACATCCGCAGTGTACATTTTGTTATGAACGGAAAACGGAAAAATCTGTCGATAATCCAATGTGTGTAATGGTCTAAAAATCAATATAAAAAGATTATTTTTAGACCATAGAACTTTCTACAGTTTTAAAAGGTCGATGTTTGCTCTTCCTCTGATATATATTGTTTAAATGGACTTTTCTTGAATAATGAATACTGTCCTTCATCTTTATATACATCTATTTCACTTATAAAACGAGATTCAATAATAAGTAACCATATAAAAAGTTAATCATTGGAGCTCGATTCAATGGAGAACTGCTTGGGAGATGCAGACAGGAGGGTATAGGTACCATAATTTCAAAGAGGCATTAGAGATGGGTAGGACAATAGCTCGGAGAGAGCCTTAATAAATCAAAAGAACGACATTACAATGGACTCCAATGGACATCGAAATAGAAGGACCAAGAAACAACATGGAGAAGGGCAACGGAGACTAAAATAAGAACTATGCAGCAATCTTGGGGACTACTGAGACGACTGACTCAAGACAGGCGGACGTAAAAGGGACATTACAGTCCTAGATATTGACCGATGATAAGGATGATAGCAATTCAACAGTTAGATTGTTGGAAGACCTAGTTTCAAAAACTGTATATATATCTTGTGAAGAAATAAATCAGGCATTCTCTTTAAATATGAACCTCGGAGTACTTGTGTGTAGACTGACACTGTTTTTTAAAATGAATTTTTTTGCAGATGGCCAATTTGAATGATGCAGATGACCAATTATGTAAGTTTGCAGTAGGCAAGCGAATGAAAGCGAATTACAAATATGCTTTGTCTTCAGTTGAGGTCATGAAATAAAACCATTTGTACACGCATGAAAGTAATAAAGGTAAGATTATTTTTTATAGGTTTACAATTACTGATGATGTTTCAACCTATCATCGTGCAAGTTGATCAATGTTTTCGATAAACTAACTGTTCAGATAAACTTGTCAGTTTCAATTGAATTCTACATAGAACGAAAATTATCATGGTCAAATTTAGGCAAAAACTTATAGGGCATGACGAATTTTACTCGGAATTTATTGTTTCCTGCTTTCTCAAAAGCGAGAGGACATTAAATCTCGTTCGACTGCCAGCTTGTCCATCTGTCTCAAATACTTTAACATTGGTCTTAACTTTTAAATGAGAAGAGATACGGCTTTTATGTATATTACCTGTGACAAGACCATTCAAAATGTATTATGATTTTTTACCCTATGACCTTAAATTTTGACTTATTTCATTTAAATTGACCGACATTGCCTTAAATTAGTCATAATTTTTAAAAGAGAAAAGATAGAGTTTTCATATTACACATGTACACTAAAAATACTATAATTTTTTACCCTGTGACTTTTTTCCTTTGGTGATTACTTTTGAATGGCGCTCGTATTTGAAACAATTTACCATAAATATTTACATCCCATCCAGCTAGACACCGAAAGCAAGGGACCATAATTCTTTGAATTTGCTTGTTGACATCTTCATTTAATCTATTTTTCAGTACATACAATAATACTGTGTATATATTTTCTACTTTATTTCTGAAGTCTCCACAGAGTCAGTCCTCTGACTTTTCTTCAGCTGGAATCCACTTTTTTCTTTGTACCAAACTTTTACTTCAGCTATTGTCTGAGGAAGATCCCATCCTCGTGTTTCCGGTAAGTACACAGCAAGTACTACCACAATGAAACACATAGAAGAAAATATAGTTCCTGGAGCCCAAGGTACCTCTGTTGCCTAAAAGTGAAAAAAATATACCATAAACCTAAGATAAAAGGTTCTTCAAAAATACTGTAGACTCTACTGTTTTAGCTTTTCGAATGAAATATATGGAGATAACGAACAGTATTCAAGCTCAAAGTCCATAAAACAATACTTAATAGGAGCAAAGCAAACACGGACCTCCAACACATCGGAGATGTGATCAGGTGCCAATGTAGGAGTGAGCATCCCCTGACTACGGTCACACCCACCCTTTGCTCCTTGTCATGATAGGGAAATAACGGGAAAATCCGTCGTCAATTCAGTGACGCGTGTAAATATAATTTTTTAAAAATTGAACACAAGTAAACTACAGTGAGATATGTCTTCTAAATTACTAATTTGGACACTTAGTTATTTTTAAAAATTCAAGAATATGGAATATTTGGTGCAAATGTAATGAAAACTTGTTTGTTGACGCAAGGTCAAATTTAAATAAAATGTGACTTTGCGTATAAATCCACTGTATTTCAGATGTCAATGGCTACGCCTATGGCTTTTCAGCCATAACTATGCTTGAAAAGATTCATCATGAATGCGTTAATTCCAATGATAAAAATGTATAAAATTAAAATGGGGTTACCGGGTATACGTGTTCAAAAGGCTGTTTTGTTAAATTTCTCTGGTCAATCTTAATAAAGTTTGTGTTTTTTGTTAACTTTAGATATAGTTCTTAATAGTTTTAAAGAAAAAATGGCATATAAACAATTTAGATTTTGAGAATGATGATTTGAGATTTTTTTCTGAAAGACGTGGACAGATTCAATATCAATTTGTTAATGTTATCCAATAAATATTTCAAATTTCTCTTGGCAAATAAAAATATATTTGATCTTCATAAGTTTTAACATAAATTTGATATGATTTGGTGCATAGCTAAATAAAATATTGTATCACGCTTCTTTATGTTCAATTTTTCTGTTGAATTTTTAGAGGTTTGTTGAGACGTATGTTGTATGAAAAATAACCTGCAAAGATATGATGAGCATGCTACACGCACAAAAAAACTAGGTATCAAGTGTTTAAAGATACTTTTTTATGAATATGGAAGACGCTACGAACCGTGTATAAAATTAAAAGGCAGAGAAAGTTTGAGAAACTCGACATTCTTTTTGACATTGTTATAAACCGTGTTCTGTGGTGACAAAACATCAAATGGTATCAAATGGTACATGTACGAAACATCATACATCACCAAAATTAAATTTTTACATATGAAACTGTGTTGATCTTTAGTCTTGTAAAAATAATATGATGATATGGAACATTTTCTACGTATTTTTTGAATGACCCTCGTAAACAAATAACCTGTTATCAAAGTACGACTAGATTTACAATTTCTGCAGAACATTCGAAAATCGAACACGCGGGATCCGAAAGGAATTCTCAAAAAATTTAACTTAAGCATTTCATTTTACTGAATTATAGAAAAACAACGAATAGTAATCAAATGGTAATAAGGAATTGTCAAAAGATATAACTTAAGCATTTCATTTTACTGAATTATAGAAATAACGAATAGTAATCAAGAGATGTTATTTTCAAACTTGATAAATTTGAAATATAGGAAAATGTCGATCTATAGGAGCTAATGTATCAAATTCTTTTATCATATACTAGTAAGTATTACTATGCGTGCCAAGGCTACAATATAAATTAAATAATTACAGTGAAGAAAATGACTCTTTGTTCTCTGAAAATGGAAAAAAGTATTCACCAATATTCCGACAAAGGGGAAAACAATGGCACCAACTCTAGAGAAAGAAGAGGAAATTCCTAAACCAGCATTCCTAAAAATTAATAAATCGTAAAATCAACAAATGGTTACAGATAAGAAACTTTGTTCACAGATTGTGTCCAACCAAGATTTTAAAAAAGACTAACATCAACATACCTGAGATTTGTTGGATAAAGTTCTGCGGTGAAGAGAAAAAGTAGGCTAAATGAACCCGTTATTGACAGTTTACCTATAAATGACATCACAACTGATGTCATTATCGCTGGCTGGCTTCCATCTGTAGAAGATTTTAAAAAAGAAAAAAAATTAATTAAAAAAGAGAAACCAACATCCACTCAAAGTCGTATTCGTGAACTCTGATGTTGTGAAGAAGAGAAAACACAAGGTAATATTAAGTCAATATCATTAATCAAACTGTTATTAATAATTACCAGAGAAGTGGTTCAAGGCTGTGGAAAGAGCTAACGCCGATCCTGTTATGATGTGAAAAATAACAGTAATTGTTCGTCTTCCTAGGCTACAAATAAAACCTATATAATACTCAGATTTTATAACTGTATCCATCAAATCATGTTTGTAACAGCTAGACTATATGCATGAATTAACTTCTAAAGTTTTAACAATGTTTTATGCAAAAAATGGAATTACCATCGAAGCATTAAAAATTCCAGAATTCCTCCAATATACTCTACACAGACTGAGAGGAAAAAATTCAAATACCGATTCCCAGCCAATGATGTTGAGGTCAAGGTCAGTCCGAAGTATGTCAGAGTATTGGTAACCCTAAAGGTTAAAAATTTCAAATAATCGTCAACATTCATAAATCTTCAGTTGGGTAGATTAAAGTCGAGTTATTCATTTTTTTTTCAAACTTGCCATATAAACCACATCATTACAGATATAATGAAAATGGATTTATTCTTTATGATGTTAAGGGGGATGTACGGCCACCTTTAGTGCTGTGAGAACAAAATGTAAACATTTCTTCAAATGGCTAAAATACATCATATTTTGATCAAATTTTAATTCCTTATGATAAAGATACAATAAATATGCATAACTGAATGCATGTTGTGCATATATAATCTATACTTTTGCAGAAAAATGCTTTTGATATGCTCCTTAGAACTGCGCAGCTACAGAATTCAGCAGAGCCTTAAAAAATTCAAAAAAATATGCAAACTGTGCATCAATGTTCTCTCTACAACCATTTGTTGAGAAAATGTCTAAATTTTGCACTTTTAAATGATAATTTCAAGTTCAAAACAAGGTATCGTTGTCTTCAAAAAGAGTTTAAAGAACCATGAAAGTAGTTCATGCATAGCAGCACGTGGTCTATTTTTAGCACAGAATTTTGTTTTCCAGACCTCTTCTTAATATGGAGGGACATAACAATCTTTAAATGTAGAAGAGAATTACAGTTGCAAAATATTTCAAATACATGTAGTATGAACACTTTTAAAAGAGGAAATGTGTTATAGTATGGCTTGAAGTAATTTATTTAGTATTATTATCGAACAGTTGTTAAATAATGTACTTATTGATATCAAAGAAAAAAATCTTAAACTCCTTGATTCCAGGTAAGGAAAATGAGCACCATCAAAGTTAAGAATTAAGAGTTTGTAAGTTTGCCACAGATAACATATAATATATATCAAAATTTTAATTATCACTAATGAAACACAAAGAAATTAAACACATAAAATCGATATGAATGACCTTGATTTAGTACCTACTTGTACGAGGGGTGATCAAAAAGTTCGCGAACTATCTCTATATCTACAAAACCACAATTCAGATTAGAAACAAATTTGGTGCACACATAGCCAAACACAAGTTCTATAAAATAGCATATGCTGAATAAAGTTTTGCTCATAATGACGTCATTATGCAGGTACTTGTGACGAAAAATGGTTGCCTCAGTGGAACTCGTTTAACAAACGACTAAAATATTTATGGTATATCTTAAAAATGCCTTCGAAGTAGCATATAAGAATTTGTTCATAGTTTATTAAGACAAATGACTTCCTACAAATTCAATCAATGATTGGATAGATCGTTTAAGTGAAGGAAGGCAGATGGTTAAATATGATACTTGTACACTGGGCAATATCACATATTGCCCAGTGATATATTAGCAAGTTTGAAAAGGGATGTGTTTTTAATTAAGCAATATGCTATCAAAGACCTCCAATTTACACTTTGAAAAATACTTGAATATTTCAACAATAATATAACTATCAAATACCTAAGATATATCGTTTACTTTTTGATCTACCCTCGTATACTCTGTCAAATAAACATTTACAATTTTGATTTTAGCGGAGCAACATTTGACAGAGTGGGTTAGGAGATTTAATGAATAAAAAAACTTTTTCTATTTGCCCTTTTTGTCAAAATTACAATTTTACAGAGTAAAGAAAAAAATCAACATTAATAAATATTTTATACCATCTTTAAAATGACGTTTGGTGGTCCTCCCAACTCAGGGAAAAATTATTGGGTCCGTACTTATAGGTGAGAAAAAAATTCCTAAAATTTTAAACATATTCGTTGACGGAAGAAAAAAAAAAACATGTAATGGGATGTAAAAAAAAAAATGAGTCGGGCCATTTCTAGGCAGTAGATCGGGAGAGAGGGCAACCAAATATTTTTATAACAAATTGTCTTATAAGGCTAGTACATGTTCCATCACATACTTAGTAATGCAAAAGAAACACGCACGCTAACTCTCGATTCCCGCCTACACTTTGGAACCAATTAATTCAATATGAATAGCAATTTGGCCATAAAATCTTTGTTTAATCAAAGAACAGTTCAATGGTAATTGATAAATCGTCCTAATACCAGCGCTAAACAGTAAATCATCCATAATTCCAGCTCTTGAAAAAAGGGGGATAGATTATATTTTCCATTGAAATTGGAGTTTCAAGCATCACCGTATTTTGAAATAGTCTTGGATATGATTAAATGTTCCTTATATCTTTTCTTATGTTTTAGGCAAATAAATAAAACATAAATATTTCAATAAAATATAATGTTTCAGATGTATATCGCTTTGAAATTGATGGAAAATAAGCATTTTTATCGTTTTTTGTCAATAAACATATGTTCCCCCCCGTGTCACATAAAAAGCTTTGGTATGAATTTGTGAAATACCATTCCATATTACCTGTAAAAAGGAATTTTTGTGACACGGGGGGGGGGGGAAGATGTTTTAAAAATATTTTCCGTTTTCCATTGATTTCTATAGTGAAAAACACAAGTTTTACCAAAATTTTAGAGTTATCTCTCTTAGTTTTCCCAAATAAGTAATGTTTTATGAAAATCCATATAATTATCTATAAAAAATATTTAAAAAATCATCGAATATGTTAACTTTTGAAAATTGACTTGGAGGTAGGCGGGAGAACAATACTATCGTTCGCAGTTCTTTTTTAATCTTTGGCACTATTTTGAAAAACAAACATAGGATTTTTATTTGGGGGGGGGGGGGATATGCCTCTCATTTTTTCGTGATAGACATAGTATATGCAGTGGACTTGTCTTCGCAAACATTGTGCTTGCTTCTAAATTTCAAAGAAACAACTCAATATATTTTATCAAGCTTCGTATGTTCAATGAGCGAGAGCTTACAATGTTGTCAACATATTGAGACATGATGCGTTTTTATGTCCAAACATTACTCCATACAATGTGTGGTTCATTGCAAACAATCTAGCTATTTACGTGAGGTGCCTGAAGGAAATCCTATAACTGCCTATTTTTTCTATCTAAGTGCTAAACAAAATAGACACATGTACCAACTTTTCGAATGTAAGACATGTAATTACAATTTGTTTTTCATGCACCGCATATTGTTTAACATTTTCAAATTAAATGCTAAGCATCCTCCTTGCAGTGCCCCATTTGAAAATAACTTCTATCGCCACAGAAAAAAGACCCGCCGTAATCACATATGTTTAGGACATGTTTTATCTTTTTTCTTGAGTTTTAATGAAACCAACAAATCATCAAGACTTGGTCCATGAAAAATTAAATATAATCATGGTAATAAACTCATCTATCCACAGCAGATATATGCACATGCCAACCACGTGCTCAGTGGAATGATATTATCGAGGAAACTCGAGCTGTAAACAGAACAGTTTTTCCCGATTTGCTGGAGTGGGGTTAAAATCGCTTTTTTTCATTAATCAGACGATGCAATGCAACAAATAAAAGTAGTAAGTAATATAACCTTATGATTATTACTTAGTAATTTCTTGTCTTGATGTTATTATGGTCGCATTTATTCTAAAACCAATGCTATTCGAACTCTGTGTGACAGAGGAATGGCGGACGAAATAAACACATGGCCTCAGGAAGACACCCATATGAAAAATCAAATTTTCAAGAATTATGGATAATGACAAGAAAAACGCGAAACAAATGGTTGTAGCCATATTATCAATGAATCAAACTAACACTATATTCAATGCATTTTTCATCTCGTGAATGCTGTAGCTGCGCAGTTCTAACATGATTAATTTCCTCCTAATTAAAACAAAATAAACTTAATTATTAACTGATTTTGGTCTCTAATAGTAGGTAATTAGTGCATTAGCACTTTGAGTAACTTTGGGCTAGTTTAGTAGAGTATTAAGCGCATTCTTGGTATTTCTTATTTTACACCAGACTAGATCCAATATGGCTTGTACATCCCCCTTAACTATGCTGAGCTTTTCCACAATGATAATTTCCTTGGATTGTTCTGAGCGTTTCGTATCCTCCAACAAGCATTTGTCTTTCTCAGCTCTTGCCATCTTTCTGTCCACGATTTTTTTAAGATCTTCATAATTCAGTTTGTTCCATCTGGTCACCTTTCTAACTATTCTGTTTGCTTCTTCATATTTTCCATTTACTGCTAGCCATCTTAGTGATTCATCTTGAAACCTGGTAAAAAAAAGATGCTGTCGTAATACTTCTATATAACACTGAAGATTTTTTTTTTGCCTAAATATATCAAAAAATAATTTTTAAAAGAAAAAAAAATCCTTAAAAGAATCACCAGAACTGAAAGAGACTAATTGCAGAAAATGAAGTAAGTGCAATTTGTAAATATCTCCAGGAGTAGTTCTGCATCAGATAGGCAATGGGGGCCATAACGACTAAACCTGAGGTCCAGAAAAGAGCCTGCAAACCCTCGCTAATGAAACGGGTCTTTTCTGGAAAGAGTTCTAACGAGAGCACCGAACCGATGACAACCATTCCCTGGGTATAAAAAATGTTACATTGAGTATGAATTTCTAAGTTGCACTTACTATTTAAAAAATCAATGAACTGAAATTTACTGTAATCAGTTTTTGAAGAAATGCTAAAATAAACGAAAAACTATTTTTATCCCACTGGACAATTAACTAAAGAGCAATAGCTGTCAAAGATTATAAAATTAATAATTTGTAAAATTATAAAATAAGGCAATGGAAAATACAATAATAATCTTTTCATATTTTAAATTGTTATTACGCAAAAAAATCTACCTAACAATCATGTATAAAGCCTTAGCATAGAAACTAGTATAATTGTAGGCCAGAGGATATTTTGAACCCTTCATGTCTGAAGACACTATGATTAATTTCATTCTATATTTCTAGCAATTTTTATATCTTTACACATATAAGAGTCATAATTATACCGTGTTTAACGTCATTGCCAACATGCAAATACTTATTAGAAATTATTACAAATACTAGTGTGTATAAAATGTAAGATTAGTTTGCATTAGTTTTCTATTGCATTACCTGCTGCAAAACACCTAAAATAAATTTTAAGATCGCAAGTGTAATATAGTTTTCAGCAAATGCCACACTAATGCCAATGATAAAGGTCAGAAGGGTGGACCCAAGGTACACCGTTTTTCTTCCAAATCTATCGCTGAGAGAGGAGGCAAAGGCTGCGCCGACCATCTGTCCCACGAAGAGCAGCGATTGTAGTACTTCTGCTAGGTATGCCCGGTCACAGAAAAGATCCAGCTGTCAAAGTAAAGGTCTTCATTTTTAATTTTCACGGAGATCATTCAATTTACTAAATGCACCGAGATCATTCAATGAGATCATTCAATGTCCTGACTTAATAAAGATCATTCAATGTTCTAATGTACGTGCAAGTTAAAAAAAAATAGACAAATATGAAAGTAATATGCAAAATAAAGGAGGTAGCACACAGCAATGCAGCTAAACCAGCAAAAACAAAAGGAGATCATCTGCTGATTAATTAAATGTGAAATTCACAAGCTTTTTA